AGTGCATCAATCTCCTCTCTCATAGCCTTCCTCCATCGTTCATCCTGGAATGCCTTCTTGAAACTCGTGGGCTCCACTTCAGCATCAAGTGCACTGAGAAAACACTTATGTTTCTGAGAAAACTTCTCATATGTGACATACGACGAGAGATGATATTTGCATTTCTCCCCGACATATGGTCCAACCACATGGGTAACATAATCAGCAAGGCGTACATTTGGACGTTTCTCACGCTGACCACGTCCCAAGTTCTCCACCGCTGGCTGGGAAGGGGACGGTCGACTGCCGTCCGTGGAACGGTCCACGGGGTCGACCGTTTGGAGCTGTTCTAGATCGCTAACTTTCTGCCTCGGACGCGGTCGACCGTCTTCCTCATCACGGTCGACCGTTTGATCATCTCCCAAAGAACCGTCATTCTGCCTCTCGAACGGTCGACCGTGGATATCAGGACGGTCCATCAGATCGACCGTTCGGTCATCTCCTAGGGATCCGTCATTCTGCCTCTCTGACGGTCGACCGTGGGCATCGGAACGGTCGATCAGGTCGACCGTCTGTAGCCGGTCAGCTCTGCTGCTTTCCTCCGGTCGACTGTCCCTCCTGGAACGGTCCATTTGTTCTTCCGTCCGCAGTTCTTCATCTTCATCATAAGAGCTAACCTCATTTGTGGTTCCTGTATCAAGAGAAGCACCTGTAGGAGTCAAGAAAGGGAAAATATCTTCACAAAATACAACATCCCGGGACACCTTGATTTCCCCAGTGTCCGGGTAGTAAATACGCCATCCCTTCTTCCCTTGTGGATATCTAACAAATATTCCAGGATTGCTTCTTGGTGCAAATTTATCACCATTCCTTTTCAAGTTATGAGCATAGCATCTGCATCCAAAAACACGAATATGAGCCAAAGAGGAGGGCTTTTCATAAATCTTCTTGTATGGTGTGACCCCCCCTAGCAAAGACGACGGTGTGCGATTGATCAGATGTGCGGCGGTCTGTATACACACTCCCCAGAACTCAATCGGAAGACCAGCCTGAAACCTCAAAGCCCGACCCACATTCAAAATGTGTCGGTGCTTGCGTTCTACTCTCCCATTCTGTTGTGGAGTAGATACGCAAGACGTCTCATGAATAATTCCTTGCTCCTGGAAATATTCATTTAGACATTCAAATTCTGTGTCATTATCACTGCGAACACACTTTATTTTCTTCCCGAATTGTCGAAGATGGTATCGTGTCTTAACAAATTTTTGTCACGGTTGGAACGCAAACCTTAGTTCGTTTACATGGGTTTGTGGAGAACTTTTTAGTAGGTGTTATCAGTTCTTGTAACATCTTGGTAGTTCTGAACCTCAGGATATACCAGGGGTATTTAGTGTGTGTATCATATCAAATTTATCAACAGATTGATAAAAACTTATAAGAAAACTCCCACGAGTCTGTTTAGCACGTAAACAAATGTCACAACAACTGTGACTTCTCTTACTTGTTCCAACTTCAAGAACAAGAGACAAAACATGAGAGGAAGGATGTCCAAGTCGTTTGTGCCAAAGATCAAACTTACTCTCCTTTTTCGCACTGCACACCATCTTCTTTTCAGGCTCCTTAAAGTAATAAAGTCCTCCTTCCTGCTCACCCATACCAATTTCTGTCTTCAAATTCAAATCCTGTAGTATACACTTATTGTTGGCAAAACGTGCCTCACAATTCGAATCCCTTGTCAATTGTGACACAGAGATTAAATGGCAACTCAAAGTGGGGACATATAAAACATCATGTAGAATTAATGTTTATGTCAATTTAATCTTCCCCGATTGGACAGAAACAATTCTTTTCCCGTTGGGCAAACCAATCTCACATGGTGATATTCCCACTACATCATACAATAACGAAATATCACCAGTCATATGATTTGATGCCCCAGTATCTATAATCCACCGCGGTGACACAGGAATACCTGAAAGCTTCAAGCTAGAAACACACGATGATAGCGAGAAAAACATCTTTCTTGGTTCTTCATCGGCCATGGCGGTAGCAGAGTGGCGTACGGCGTTGGCGGACGAAGCAACAACAGCATCAATCAAACAATCTGCCGACGGGACGGTCGACGTGCTCGACCGTTCTAGAGCAACGGTCGACCGTTCCGTTATCCGGCAACAGCAACAACCGACTAAAACTGAGCAACGATCGATGGACGCCATGTCGGGCGATCGTGAACAGTAGTCGTAGAAAATTTCTAGGGTTTTGGCTCCGATACCATGAAAGAATTATGAAAGAATATTTGGGAGGAAATTCTCTCTAGATTTCTTGTGTTCAATTTACAAAGTAGACATGTATATATAGGCTCTCACAGATTGAGAAACCTAATCACAAAAGGAAACGAAATCAACCTTATACAAGGAAGCTACCAAAAATAATATATACACAAATATCTCCAAATATTCTACCAAATATTTTCTTTCCTTTAACAAATCTGATCTGATTTGATGAGATCTGATCTGAACTTGTATGTGCTGATCTAGTTCTCCTTAGGTCTTCTCCTAAGATGTAGTTCTCCCTTAGGTTTTCGTCATTCTAAAACATATACCTATATATTTGTGGTGGGGTTCTAGTGACACCGGAGTACGATGCCACTAGCGGTGCCACTGGCATTTTGGGGCACCTCCGGTGCTTCGTTCACAAAATTGACGTTTCCTACCCCCCTTAACCCACCCCCTAAACCCCCCACCCTACCCCCGCCCCTGCACCCCCGCCCCGCCATAAGCCCCCCACAAAATGTGGCTATTATGCGTTGCATAATAGCCACACATTTTGTGGGGGGCTTACGGCTGGGTGGGTTAGGGAAGCCGGGGTAGGAAATCCCAATTTTGCGAACGGAGCACCGGAGGTACCCCAAAATGCCAGTGGCACCGCTAGTGGCACCGTATTCCGGTGTCACTAGAACCCACCGATATATTTGACTGTCATGAAATTTAAAAAATATACTAGCATTAAAATGTGTTTAGATGAAATTAAAGCAGAATGTTTGAGATGATCGGTAAAGGCTCATTATTAAAAACAAGTGGGTTTTTTTTGCGCAAAATTTTTTTTGGTACGACAAGAAGTGTGTTTTATAATGTCTACATTATTGAGAAAATAAATAAAGTTTTTCTGGGAAGGAAGTCAATGAACTATTTATTTATTTATTTATTTATTTATTTATTATGCACCTAGGCAGCAAGGTCATGTTAGTTAAGGTGCTACAACATTGGATGGTAGGTACGTAAGGGGTGTAAACGAACCGAATCGAAGCGAATATCGAGATATTTGAATTCGTATTTGTTTAAATTTTTTTGAATACAAATCCGAATTCGAATATGAGATGAATTAAAAATAAGATTTGAATTTGTATTTGATTAATATTTGAATACTTAACGAATCCTAAACGAATATTTTAATTATTAATACTTCATAATATTTTAGTAGTATGATGGACCACCATAGATTTTGAATAATTTAACTTACGATACTTCTTATACTATATCTAAAAATGTTAATACATTTTCATCTTACACAAATTATATTTTATAAAATATAACTAAAAATCATATATTTTAGATTTTCGTGATACGTTAATTTGTTGAATTCTAGCTTAGTAAATTAAATATATTTTATACTATATTAATTAGTTTACTTGACTATTAATGTTGAAACATAGTTTTTCACCCGAATCGAATATACTCCTATTTGTATTTCTATTTGTTTAATATTCGAATCAAAACCAATATTTGAATTTGAATTTGTATTTGAATATAATGCAAATTCGAATCATTATATTTGAATACAAATCACGAACAGAATCAAAAGTATTTGATTTGTTTACATCCATACGGTACGTTACACAACTTTCTGACTTGACTCAGTTGACTAGCTAGGGACGAGGGAGATAAATCGGCACGACATTTTATACTCTCTCCGTACCCAATTTGATTACAAATTGCGGGTTACGGAGGAAAATTTCTTACTTTTTGAAATCATTTTATTTACAAATTGGTATATCAATAAGATATAAAAATTACATATTAAAAAACTACGTCAAAAGTTCTACATATTAGCCATCACACATTCTGAAAATCAAATTTGTAAATTTGTAATTAATTCACTATCAAATTAAATCTTTGCGTATTTCTTTCTTTTTGACATTCTACACTCGCATATTTGTGCTTAGTCAGTGCCATGTTTGACACTTTGCTTTCTTTTTTACCTTATACAGTGGCACATTTGTTCTTATTCAATATTATGGTTGGCATTATGGATTGTAAATCATGGCTTCGATGACACTTTGTATGAAGAGTATTCTTTACTGGAGGGACGATGAGGGAGGAGGAACAACAAAGGAAGCAACTTTGCTATTCTTTGCTGGTTTTAAAAATTCTCGGTGGATTTTGGTTCAAACCAGGCCAAGAAATTGGGCTAAAATATGAAGAGTAAATAATTTATTTAATAAAAAAAGTCTGGATTTTTTATTCAGGTGGCGAATGGAAGGCGTTCGAAGAGAAGATATGATATTCTTGGCGCATACTAGGGGAGGTCTTGTTAAGTTAATTGCTCCTATTTAGAGGAGTTTAAGTTTTAACTCCTATTTTGGCATATGACATCTCTTTTACTCCTATTTTGGTTCATCTCTCTTGAAAAAGTGAAAAAATTAGGAAGTGTTAAATTTGTAGTTGACTTCCAATTTTGCCCTTGATATGATGGGTAAAAGTAAGATGTGATGGGTAGATTATTTGAGAAAAAATATGATATGATAGGTAATGTATGAAAAAGTAAGGGTAAAAGTTGGTTTTTAATAAAAAATGGAAATGTTTTTTTGAAAGTGAAAAAAATGAAAGAGGAAGTGTTTTTGAGAACGGAAGAAGTACAACTATTGAGCTTGTAATTAAATTACCTCTTCCGTCCGGAAATGTTATTCTCATTTATTTTTTCAGTTTTCAAGATTGCAGCTTGACTAATAATATCTTTATTTATGCATATATATCTTTATAAAAAATTGATATTTGAAAACTATGTTCTAATAGAATTATATTGATATTAAACTTATATAATAATATAATATATATTTTCTATATATCGGAGTTGAAGTTTACAAATTGTTATAAAGAAAATCAAAGAGAAAAAATTCCGACGAAAAGAGTAGTTTTATTTTAAGACGATATTAGAGTCATGACATAAATATCATGAGACTCATGAGTGCCTAAGAAGGGTTAGGCGTCTCCCGTTTGTTATAAAATTCAATTTTTTATTGTTAATTAGCTAAATTGATCATTTTTGTTTAAATCCTCTCTTACCTATTGTTTGGGTGGGGAGGAATTGGGGAGAAAGAAAACGTGTGGAAGGAAAATACAGATTTGAAGATACTTTCCTCTGATCTGTTTCGTTTGAATAGAAAATGGAAGAGGGAAAAAATGTATTGTTTTATTAAATGAGAAAGTCATCTATTCAATCTTCCGTGCGGACAACAACTCTACAAGCTTTAATATATTGAGATTGTGTGCACAAATACTACACTGTAATATAACTTTTAGAGTTCAAAAAATTGAGAAAGTTAATGGAGAGTAATACAAAATTAAATTAAGAGTAAATGAGAAAGTTAATTGAGAGTAATACAAGATGTATTGTAATATTGAATGAGAAAGTTAATTGATAGTAATACAAAATTAAACACATATTTTCATCAATTGAATGTAATACAATATTGTACTACTCTCAATTATCTTTCTCATTTAAAATTCAAAACATAAATCTACATTTTTTAAGATATATTTTTATTAATTATTTCTTGAAACAATTAAATTTTGTCGCCAATTATTTGATTTTGTAGAATCTTTAAAGCACTATAGCTTAATTATTGGGCATTAGTTGGTGACATAAATTTTTGAGCCCACTCTTGTTTTGTCCAATAGAATTTAGGTCTATTTCGAAATATGTGGGCCTGACCTTGGGATGTTGTCCATTGATGAGTTCTTTTTTTACAATATCGCATCACTTATCTCTTGATGGTTCTTGAACCGGCCCATTACGTACAGAAGGGGAAAAATGTTTCTTTCATACTTTCTTCCTTTCAAAACTTTTGTTTTACTTTTATCTATGTCAAATTAAATCTATTTATTATTAATCTAAGTAATATGAGAATCGAACCAATCTAAACTTCCATATAAATCTTGAAAAATGGTGTTCTTACTACTCAAATCAAGAGAGATGTTCAAAGAAACATGTGTTTTAAATGTTAATATGTTTATTATGTTATATTATCTTCAAACATACAATATTAAATAGAAAATAATTTATCATTAAACATCCTAGACAATCAATTATTTTAAGTACTTCCAATTATATTTACTTGAATTAGTACTCTATATATTTTTTAAGGATACGCCTCGTTTTTTAGTCATTTCATACACATCAATGTAATATTTGTTCAATTTTGTAATTCCAAACTCTTAGGAGGACAACCTCAAATAACATAGGATATTTTTACTCTTTTGTATTAGTGTATTTGCCTAGTTTGATTTTTGAGAGTCAAACTAGGTAAACGTTGAAATTTAATTATATAATAAATATAATACGGAGTATATTTTAATAGAAAAAAGATTTTATCTGATTTACCATATAAAAAACTTTCAAAATTATATTCCATATTTTATTATAGTCATATCAATATAAATCGAGAGTAATTAAAGCTTAAAATTTATCCAAATTCATTGGAAAAATTAAAAATAAACAAATATACTGAGACGAAGATAATATTATAGAGTAGTCCACTAGTCCTATCTTCCACATTTTCCATCCATCATCAAATACTTCCTCTGTCCCTGAGTATTAGTCCTCTTTTGAATGTTTTTGGTCAAAATTAGTAAACTTTGATCTCAAATTAAATAAAAATGATATTAGATATTGATAAAAAAGAGTTTTATTATGTTTATTATATCAAATATCTTCAAAATATTAGTTTATTTAATTAAAATATGGTATATATTTTATTTAATTATAGATCAAAGATTGAAAATAAGTAACTGAAAAAATTAAAATTGGACAAATACTCGAAGTTTTTATCAAAATGCCCTGTAAATGTTTCGTATTTGGTGGACTACCCTGTAAAGGTGAATTGACGGAAATATCCAGGCGTGTATGACCGACGCGCTTCTTGGAAAATAAAAAGTTATGCCATTTAACGAAGCGTAAACGGCGTTTCAAGTTTAAATTTAAATAAAAATTCCGAGAATGGGCGAAACGACGTCGGAAGAGACTATACAAAAACCCTTCATAAACATCTTCCTTCATCGTGCGACCATTGAGTTTTCGATCTGTGTGTGCTCTATCCCCCCTCTTCGACACCTGCAAAACTTGATCAAAACCCTACCCATCCAAAGTCACCGGTCTCAGAAAACCTTGAAATTCTACAATGAGGACGAAGAATGCTTCTATGTCTTCCTCCAAGAATGGAAACGATGAGTATCATGCGGAAGAGACGATGACAGGTGGAAATTATGACAAGTGGCAATTCCCTACCGAACCGAGAAGATTGGTACGAAACCTGAAGTTGATGCTTACTTTGTTGCAATCCAAAGTCCCGATAAATACACATGAGAAGGGCATTGAAGTCTTCATTACTTCTTTCCCACTCGATCACTTGTGTCTTACTTTGCTTGTTTCGTTTAAACTGGATTTTGCTTTTCTCATTTTCAACCCAATCACCACCACAATGAATGAACAGACATAGAAGAGCGCGAGTGTCCATCTGCCTGCAAAAGTGAAATTAAAGATGTAATCGCCTTATTACTGTGAACGTTGACACAATCATAATTCAGAATGTATAATTCAGAATGTGATTGATGAAATTACATGGAAAATTGTCAACATAGGATCCAGAAAATCTAGAAATACAAGTCGATCAAATAGCTATTATGTCGACTAAATCAGATACTGTGGAATTATACATGTAATCGTCTTATTTCTGTCGACCTAATAAACCAAAATAATAAATCCAGAATATAGTAAATCATTATAATGTCGACCTAATAAACCAACTTTAATTATGTCGACCCTAGGTTTCGACTTTAGAAATCATTGATAATGTTGACTTTGAAATATACAGTAAAAAACAGATATATGTCGACTCTTCTCCGGCTATAGTTAATTATACAATCCTTGCTGTAAAATTAGATGAATGTGTACCTATGTTGAAAGAGCCTTTCACCGATTAGTGGAAACAAACAAAAGACGGCGAACAACTGGGAACAAAACAGCGAACAGTGGGACAGCGGGACAACTGGGAACAAACAGGAAGCGAACAACTGGGAAACAGCTAACAACAGCGGCGACCGCTGATAGGCGTCAGAGTATGCAATTGATTGGAATAGAAAACAATGAAAATGACACGCCGCCGCAATGAGAATAACAAATTTCTTTGATAGGGTAGAAACGACGATCTGCTGCTGCAACGGTATGATAACGAGAACGTAGCGATTACGGCTTAGGGGAGAAGGATAAGAGAGTAATTTCACTTTGATAGAAAGGGTAGGTTAATAAATAAAATCCGTTTTGGGGTAGAGTGATAAATTCCTTCCGTTATTAGGGCATTTTGAAAAAGCACCCCAAATACTCAGGGACAGATGTAATATTTGATTTACAAATTACACTTGAAAGTCTATGGTAAAATTAGTAACCGAGGTATTTTTGTTATTATAATACTCTCTTGTCAAAAAATTGCTCTTGGGTACCCCTAGTTTTATGATAAGAACTACTGGGTACCCTTAATTTTAAAAATATACTCCCGGGTACCTCTAGTTATTTAAAAACTTACCAATAGGGTTTTTTATCCTTCCGTCATTCACTCCGTTAGCTTTTCTTCTTCCCCTTTATCATCCACATCATCATCCTTCAATTTGTTCATGATTTCCTCTTCATTCTGCATCTTTCTTCTTTTTATTCTTCTTCAATTCTCCTTCACCTCCTTCGATTCTATACTCCCACCCCTTCCATTTTGTTCTCTTTCTCTATTATTATTATTATTATTATTATTATAATTATAATAATTATTATTATTATTACTACTACTACTACTACTATTATTATTATAGTTATTCTTATGATTATAGTCTCTCGGTCCTTGAGTATTTGTCCACTTTTAACTTTTTTCAGTCAAAATTGATAAGCTTTGACTTCAGATTAAATAAAAATGATCTTAGATATTGATACTAAAATAATTTTATTAGATTTCTTATATCAAATATTTTCAAAATATTATTTTATCTATTAATTTACAATATATATTTTATTTAAATATATAAATCCAAGATTGAAAAAAGTTGACTGAAAAAATTCAAAACTGGACAAATAAGCAGGGACAGAGGTAGTAATAGTTATTATTATTATTATTATCATTATTATTATAGTTATTTTTATTACTATTGTTATTATTATTATTATTAATTAGTAGTTGTACTAGTATAATTTTATAAAAAAATACTAATTTGCCCGCCAACAAATTTGTACTCCCATTAACCTTTTCATATATCCACTTGAATAAAAAGAGACTAAAATATTTTAAATCTTTAATTGAGAGTTAGTTTTGGTGATATATTAATGTATAATTTATAAATTTAAAATGCTTTACTATGATATTTATTTGGTTATAAATTATACTCCGTCCTAAAGTCATTTACGCTATTCGAACAATGTGTAAAATTTCATATTTTTTAAATATGATTTTTTCTATAAATTGATATAAAGATAAAAATAAAAATTACATGTTTTAAAAACTATTAAAATTTCTATAAAAACATGCGACAAGGACATTTTATTCTGTCAAATGACTAATGAAAATACATTAGTAAACAAAATTTATCGAGAGACTCAAATAGTAAAATTACAAATCATTTTAATAAGAAAATTTACAATAATAAGATGAAAATTTAACACTATCTATTTTAACGACAAAAATAATGTTAAATTTCATCTTATTATTATTGTAAATTATAACGTACTTCATATATTTTATATCTAAGTAAATAACGGAGTAATAATTTTTAATATATAAATTATGCAAAAATTTATTACCAAAACTATTTTTCAATTAAAAATTTTAAATATTTTAATTTTTTTACCCAAGTAGTGATTGGGTAAGGTTATTTGGGGTATACAAATTTTTGGTGGGACTTTAGTGTTTTTTTTGAATTAGAGTAGTAAAACTACTAATTAACTTTAATAACTATTATGATGATGATGATGACGACAACAACAACAACAGAAAAGAAAAAAAGGGGAATGGTGGGGGGTTTGGATGGGAGGGGGGTGAGGATAATTAAAGAAGAAGAAAGAGGAGAGGGAGGAGGATGATGATGAAGAAACTAACGGAGCAAATGAATTAATGGAAGGATGGTCCTCCTCGTTAGTTTTCTAATCTCTCCGTCCTAAAACTTTCTTTCCAGAGCACTTCACGGGAATTTATATTTATTTGTGTTTTTTCATGGCGTATATGATAAAATAAAATATTTTTGTCACCTCTTGTTTTGTTAAACTTTTGATGTAGTTTTTAAATATGTATGTTTTATTTTTTTATTTCTATACCAATATTTAAATAAAATAGATTAAAAAAAACTTAGAATTTTTCATCGTTTTGTGCAACGGGAAGAAAGTTTTAGGACAGAGGGAGTAATAATTAGAGATACCTCGGAGTATATTTTTAAAAAGAGAAGTTCCAACAATTTTTATCACAAAATTAAGGATATGGAGGAGCAATTTTTTGCTCTCTTGTCTCTCATCCTCCAAAGTCCAAAGTCCAAACAAACAAAATTTTCCATTTCAATTTAGAAGGTTATTCCTCCCATCCAACCAACGCAAACAGACCCTAAGCTGCAACCGCAATCCACATCGGAAATAACCAGAAGCGTGAGGCATTATCGCAGCAGAGCACAACCAGGGACGAAGGCGTAGCAGACGCATCCCGGCGAGAACGCAGACGCACCAGGGCACCATCGCCGTTTGTATCACCGGAGAGAACGCAGCAACGTCGGGGCACCATCGTCAGAGCAGCCCCGCAGCAATCCCCGAGGAGATACCGGAGACGAAGCACCAAGGCTGGAGCTTAGAGCAGATCCAGCGAATCGAAAGCAGCAGTCAGCAAGGATATTGGGTCTAGCAAAGAGGTAATACGCTTATTTTAATTCTAATCATTGTTTGTTTTTTTTTTATTCCCAGAAGTCATAGCTGAAACTGTAGTTTAGTTTTTTGAAAAAAATTTCAGAATCGAAGTTTTTTTTAAATAAACGAGAATGAATTCAGCTTGTTTGTTTGTTAATTTAGTACTTTATTTGCTTCGATCATGTGAACCATATGAACGTCAATTGTTGATTAAACTGATTATTTGTTCCTAAAGTTTGATAATCCAAAGCGGTTCGAAAATTGTTTTCAAATGATAATTGACAATTGGGCATGTTAGGAGGAGGAGTGCAGATGCAGAGATGCAAAAGGGTTGCAGTAGTCGGAGTGATAAGGGGTAGAGGTAGACTCAAGGAAGAGTTGGATGGAGGTGATTTGGTAGTACTAACGACTCCGATCTCAAGAGGATATGAAGTTAGATATGAATGCCTCGATATCTAGGGTTAGAGTAGTTGGGTAGCCATGTGGGCCTAAGTGAGTGTACTTTTATGCCTTAGTTTGTATCTTGTATTTGTGTGCCTTGGGTTTAGTTCTTTGAGTCAGGATGTGTGTTCCTTCTCTCTTCTCTCTTTACCCATACTTTGTTAGCAGCCTGGTTCCGTGGCCACTGGTTTGAGTGGCCACGGAAGCCACTGAGACACCTACGATGCTCTGTTCGTAAAATTGATAATTTCTATACCTCCTTACCCTCCCACCTATGTCAATTGTACCCCTGCCCAGTTCCGACCTCAACTCATCCCCCACCTATGTCAATTGTACCCCGCAATTTTAGTTGACTTTGAGGTCAAAACTTTAAGCTTTAGACTCAATTATACTTGCGGGGTTCAATTGACATAGGTGGGGGATGAGTTGGGGTCGGGTCTGGACATGGGGGTTTACCCGGGGGTAGGAGGGATAGGAATCATCAATTTTACGAACGGAGCATCGTAGGGGGACAGTGGCTTTTGTTTGCTCATACAAGTATGGTTTGTTTGCTCGTACTTTTGTTTTTCAGCAGATGTCTCACAAACAACCTCTCTACACCCACCCTCTAGACCTTACTTTTATGGGATTTGATTGGGTTTTGTTGTTGTTGACTAAGGCTAGTTGATTAGTAGTGCACACCTTTTGTTTAATTCTGAACCGAACTGTTATCTTGAGAAATTGATAGTATGCAAAAGCTAAAATTTTGTGAAACTAGGTAACAACGAGTTAAGTATGAATTGGCTCTCCCCTGGTTTTTTCTTGATTAGGTGTTCTAAACATGTTTTGTTAAATCAATATGGTATTCCGGTTACAAGATAGTAGATGATGTTTTTCTAAAGCACAATACTCTATAATTAGTTAAGCTTGGGGTTGGTCTTAAGGTTATTGAAAACAGTAGAGTTTAGGTTCGGGCTGGTCTTAATGTAAGCTACTCTGGCAGGAAAATAGAAAAGGATTTACAGTCTAATTCTTTGGATATTTAAACCCATCTTGTTAATGCTTTAACATTTAAAAGTTCATATGTGGATCAAAGATTGAATCAAGGCTGTTTTAAATCAATTTTCAAAGCCAAGTTTCTGATTTCTCTTTGTTTATTTTTCCTTTCAATTTAAATACATACACAATTACTTGCTTTTTGGCTTTTGCGCATCACACCCTTTACTTTCAATCAACATCAAGGCTGGGTTTACTTTTCAATTAAATCTTTGATATCTGTTAAATGTGAGTGTTGATTCTATACATCCACATTGTTTGGGCTTTAGACATGGAGGAACAATTCATACTCAGGGTTCCACCTTCCGTGGCTGAGCAAATTGACCGCCTTCTAAGTGAGAATGCTTCTTCAGAAGACACAGGACTGGATTTGACATTTTCTGGTATGGTTTTTTAAGTTGTTAACTTTTCTGTTCATCCTGCACCCAAACTCATGATGGTTTTGGAATAGATTGAGAGTTTAGGACATGAATCTAAAGTTATACTCCACATGTTGCAAATTTTATTACAAGTTAATAAATTTCGAAGTGAAAATTTAGTCAACTATTACCTGTAAACAGTGCTATTGGTTTTCTTGCTAGGCTTGACGCTTGTAGACATAACTGTTGGACTAGACCCTTCAGTCTGAACAGAAAATAAATACTTCCTCTGTTATGTAAAAAGCTAGGTAAAAATAAGGCTCCACTTTCTTTTTAGTGAGAAAAATGTGTGGTTCACATAAATCTCAACCACACAATTTCACCTATCTTCATAATCCTGTTGATCAAATGTGGGGCCTTATTTTAGGACGGGGGAGTATGAGATTGTCTTGACTGTAATGTAGGCAAGTAGTGTCTGCTTTAAGCTATATTAGGAGCTGGATCATAGAAACTGCCCTTAAAATTGGTAGATTGTGAGGGGTTCAGTAGTCCAACAGAACAAATATATCAAAACGTGGTGCCAGAAAATGTTACTGTTACTACATTACATCATATATTTTCATATTTTTTTATTGTTTCTTTAATTAATTTTGTGTTTTAGAGGATGGTAGGAGTGGCACATTTGTCATTGGAAATGAACGCTTCCCTGCATCCCTCTTGGATCTTCCTTGCATAGTGGAATCTTACAAAACCTATGATGACAACGTGCTGATAAAAACTGCAGATATTGGTCAGGTAGTCCAAAGGAATTGTCTTGCGTTCACCCAATTGGTCAATTACTTCTTGGCGACCTCTTCTTGTCATTGTCCCAATACAGCTGTGGCACGTAGCTTTATTACTCATCTGGTTTATCTTTACTCTCACAGATGATTATGGTTAGGGAAGAAGGAGATCCTGCTCCCGATGAAGCGGAGTACAGACATGGCCTCACCCCTCCAATGAGAGATGCTCGTAGGCGAAGGTTTCGCAGGGAACCAGATCTAAATGTGAGTTATGTAACTTTTGTCAGTGTTTACTTTTTCTGGACGCCTATGTTTGAGCCGGGAGTCTAGCGGTCTACTGGAAATAGTCTCTCTACTTCGGTACGTCCGAGAAGGGATAAGGTCTGTATACACACACCCTCCCCAGACCTTACTCTTTGTGGGATTTTACTGGGTAGAAGAAGAGTATCTGCACATCCCATTGGGTCCTAAATTTATACATGTATTTTTAATTCCCCTATGTTGGTCACTTACATGAGCTATAGTAGATTGAAGTATTGGCGATTATTAAATTGGATGAATGTTGTTCTCATTATTGAGATGTGAATGCCTTTTGAAGCCGGAGCTTGTGAGGCGTGTTGAGAAAGATTTGCAGAATATCATGGCTGGTGGAACAGCAGAGAATATCGATATCCTTCAAGTCTTTTGTTTATTTTATCTACTTATCATCTGCTCAAAAAGCTTTATATTGAGCAATACTCCGTAATACGGAGTGCTAAAAATAGAGGAAAAATCATGTACTCTCTCTAACCAAGTTAGCATGAACCCTTCATATAGTGTTTCTTGTTTTGTCCTTGACTATGAGTGTGTGTGTGTGATCACATGTGGGAGTGGCTGAACAAGAGGAAGATGCCGCGCGCACTTCTAATAAGAAAGCGGCAGCACCCAAGCCTGCAACAAAGCCTCACGTTCCGCCCGAGCCTGAGAGAAGTGATTCTGATGAGTCGGATGATTCACTGTAGCTGTCCCCCACCCCGCCCCCGCCCCCACCCCCCACAAACACACACCAAATCAGTTCTCACAAAAACTCTGTGGATAGATGTGTATGTATGCAGAGGAATATCTGCTTGAATCATATATTGACTTATATTTCAATTGTTGTCATTAGTGAGTTTCTGATCGATTTATTGCCTATGAATCTTGACTGCCTTATGTTTTTGTTGTGTGTCCGATCGATGAAGAATCATCGATCTGATCTGCAATTTGCAATTTTCAGTTTGTGGATATGTGAATTTGATGCTTGAGTTTAATTTCAAAGAGTGATGTGGTGGCCTCTGTGTAAAATCTCAGTAAAAGGAGTTACGGATCAGACTAAGGAGTATTAATGAAATGGGTTAAACTTTTTATTGATTGGTAGTATATAAGAATATTGGGTTATTGGATTATTTATTGGATTACGGAGAAGTTTTTGTCATAGCTAACACTCTTATGTGCGAAAACGCTAAGTGTTAGCTTTTAACCACAATTAGTCATGTGCGGTAAAGTAATTCCTGCAAAAGGCAAGTCTTTTTTGTAGTGCTTGCACCTCAAGTTATATTGTCTATTTTGATTTCTAAGCCCACCACTCTCTACGTATATGTAAGTTATATTGTCCTTTTTGATTTTTAAGCCGACCACTCTCTGCGTACATGCACCTCAAGTTATATTGTCCTTTTTTATTTCTAAGTTGATCACTTTCTACGTACGTGCACCTCAAGTTATATTTGTCTTTTTTTATTTCTAAGCCGACCACTTCTACGTATTGGCACCTCAAGTTATATTGTCCTTTTTTATTTCTAAGCCGATCACTTTCTACGTATGTGCACCTCAAGTTATATTTGTTGTCCTTTTTTATTTCTAAGCCGACCACTGCTACGTACTGGCACCTCAAGTTATATTGTTTTTTATTTCTAAGGCCTGTGGGCTTATTTGTTTTTAACCGTAAAAGGCATTTAATTGAAGTGCGGTTACAGTCTTTTGTGATAATGGTGAGAATGGTGATTGGTGCATCTCAAAAGCTAAAACTAACATTTAATCCTTTGGTGATGATGAATAGAGTACTAATAACATCTCTCTAGAATGTTTCTCTTAGTTTTATCGACATTTTTGTTTTTATAATTTATTTTTGTCTAAATATACACATTATTCCTTTTCATTTTTAAATTTAGAGTACTTTCATTCATTTTTTCCTCCAAGGGAGTTGTTTCCAAGAATTCATTGTTTTTGCATCTTTTCTCATGTGAGCAATACACCATTCAAGGAAGTAATGGATGCTTCCCCAAACATATGATGCATGAAAAGCATTCTTTCTCAACAGGCTCCAAATGATAAATCTTGAAAAATAACTGTATTCTTTAGAAGTATTTTATGGAAGCATCTCCATTGTAGATGGTCTAACAAGTGATCCACGATAAGAAATTGAAGGGTAGGATTGAAGGAGCTTTTACGCTGTTTTAAATCTTACATAAATTTTTGCTCGTAATTTTTTTGTATTAAAAGTACATTTTTATTTTTTTCTTATTTTTTTGGAAAAGAAAAAGAGTCTCTCATCATATATATGGTTTTTTAGTTGAGTGTTTGTTGTGGTGTTGGCCCGTGACATTTGAATACTCCGTATATTATTTTTGGCATTTTTTAAATTTAGATTTATTATTAATTAAAACACATCTCAATTTCAAAAAAAATATATTTTATTCAATGATCAATAATTTTCTACTCCATACAAGACATGCATGTTCTGCCACTATGTGTATTAAATTTTATACTCCATATTAAATAAGTATTTGTTGATTTTGTTCTATTAAATTTATATGAATCTTTTACTTTCTTACATTTAAATAACCATTATTTGTATTAAAATTTTGGTCTCCAACACGACTTTCATATATTGCTTACTCTATAAAAGTATACTTTTTCAAAAGGGAATTTACTTAAATAACACTTAAATATAATGATTTTCTCTAAATAGCATCAAATGTGTTTATTCCCAATGTATCACTTTTAGTCATTATGCATTAGTCATTATTCAAGTAATTTTTTACCATCATTGGACATTATTAAATGTTATTTAGAAAATAAAACAATTTAAGTACTATTTAGAGAATAAAACATTTTAAGTTCTATTTAGGAAAACGACTTAAGTTTTAGTGCTATTTAGTGTAAATATTTCTTTTCAAAAGTACATCTTAAAACGAATACCCTGATATTAAATTTAAAAATAGCACTTTTTTATGAGTATATATTATTATTATAATTTAAAAATATCGACAAAAGAAAAAATCAAACAGGGTACTTCTGTTCTCATAATTTACATGTCATTGTCACTCGGGCTTATTTGATATTGGGCCAGAAATCAAAGGGTCTATTAAGTCTTTTCTCGGGTCGGATCAGGTCAAACAAACAATTTTAAAGAATGTACTGAGAGTTTGTTTTGTGAAACAGAGAAGGTAAAAAATTAAAATATAAAAATTCTAAAAATTGGAAAAAAAACTAAATCAAAATAGTGGCCCTGAACCAAAATCTAAGGGGCTGCCGTTTGGTAACTTCTGAATGGGTAAGTGCTGAACCAGTAAGAGGTCTGAACCATTAAGTGCTGAACCAGTAAGAGGTCTGAACCATTAAGAGCTAGTATATTGTTTAACTATTCAGAGGCAAATGTCTGATCAATTCAGATAAGAGCTCTTAACCATTCAGACTCTGTATAATACTTAACCATTCAAAGGCAAATTTCTTAACCATTCAGACATCTGAACCATTAAGAGGCTGAAACAAACAGTCTGAACCATTAAGTGCTGAATCATTCAGACATCTGAACCATTAAGAGGCTGAAACAAACAACCCCTAAGTCGGTACAACAAGCAAAATCCAGATTTAAACATGTATGCAAACGTCATAACCAAATAATATTTTCATTTGATTCGTTAAAATGGAGAAAAGCTCAAAAATTACGGTTAACAGCTCAAGCTCCTCAGTCCAGTTCAATAAAAGCATTCAAGTCTCATTCATCAGAGAAGGCCACAAGCATACAAAAAGCTAATCGCTACAAGAAAAGCTTTCTAATGGCGGCAAAAAACGTATCCCATTTTCAAGATTTTTTTTAAAAAAAACCTCAAAGAGAAGATCACTCTGCTTCTTCCCGCCGTTCATTTGAAGGAGAATTTCCCACCTGAGGTCTTCGTACAGCTGAAAGTAAAGCGAAGGGGAAAGTTATAAGAAGCAAAGTACATTTACTGGAAAAGAATGACTGGCTCTGCAATCATATATGCTTTTCAAAATGAATGAATATGGGTACACGATAGTCCAATTTCAATTTCACGTTTGCATTGCAAAATAAGACAACTACAACGACAGACTAAGTAGAATCCTACAAAAGTAGCAAACAAAAATTAGACAACTACGGAACGAAAAAGACAGACAGGAGATCATAGAAGCAAACGACAGTTCAAAGTTCATAAATAATTTCTTATGGAGTATCATTTGACTTGAGCCCCTTTTGAATTTTGATAAAACTATAAGTTTAGAGTAGTGAGAGGAAAGGCTCATTATAGCTGTAAGATTGAAAAAACAATTACACCCGTGAGTTAGTTGTTTGATAAAACAATCACACCTGTAAGATCGGAATAGTTCCAGATATATTTATATTCCTCTGTCTCAAAAAACTTTACCCGCTTTCTCTTTTTGAAAGTCATAAAAAACATTTCTCACTTTATTTCATTTTTAGTAATGAACATATGGCTCACGAGATTTCTCTCTCACCTAAACAAGTTTTGATCATACACTTTTTGTTTTCCAACACTTTTCTTAAACTTCATGAAAGCCAAACCCCCAGGGCTGGCCTGAAAAATGAAAAAATAAGATTGTCCCGGTCCAAAATTTACATTTTGTGCCCTATTTTATATTTAGAATACTTTTGCTTTAAAATTATTAACAGATTTAAAAATATGGTGCCCTAAATTTTTCGGGACCCTGTGCGGTTAGCCACTTTGCACGCCCTCTGGGCCACCCATGGCCAAACTGGGTAAAGTTGTTTGCGACGAAGGGAGTATTAGCTTAAAAATTCCTTGCACGTACAGAAAAGAGACAAACAAGCAATCATCAAAAGAAGAAACACATTGTAATTGCTTAGAAAGGACTCACATTTGATGGACGATCCAGCAAGACAAGTCAGTCTGGATTTCGTATTGGCCTCAGCCAATGGACCAGATTCCTCCTTGCTTGAATTGCGAATATCCCAAACACGTATGTTGCCATCCGATGATGCAGATGCTACTAAATACGGATCAGCCTCAGCAGAGGAATTGTCATTGTGGGAGAGCACAACAATGCCTTTAATTCGGGCTGAATGTGCCTTGATGATGCTGTATGCAACCTTTCCACTTTTTGTGTCCCATGCAGTAATGTTCTGGTCCTCCCCACCAGTAAATAGTATGCCCCCCTGTAAAAGATTGGTTCAACCGTTCAATTACAGAACATATAGAAAAAACAAGAAGGTAATAGCTTAAGAATCTCTTCCATTAACCTTTGAACATAAGAAACAACCAGCTTATGAAACAACAAACAATTATATATAGAAACATGCATATGCATCAGATGAAGTTGTCTTTGGGTTGATAATATGACATATTGTGCCTGTGCTACACACACCCTCCCCATACCCTACTCTCGTGGGACAAATCTGGGTTGTTGTTGTTGTGCCTGTGCCACATAGCTAGTCATTAATAGACTAGTCAAAATTTGACCCGGCGTGTTTTTTAGCCATGACATGTCGGAAGAATTGTTGAATTTTGAGCTAGAAGTTTGTGATCTGAAACCTAAATGGAACGCAAAGTCAGTTCGACTCGTTGAGGAAAGACTTTTCCCAAATGATGCCCTCAATGCGAAATATAAAAGTGACATATCCTATTTCTATTCGAACAATGAAATGATATTGTATTGTTGTTTTAGTCTTCTTATAACGTACAGAGTAATTGAAATCACTAAGGAAAAAAATACAATAACACTATAATAGCCTTGATAAATATTCCAAAGTTAATATAATACTTTATATAAATGAAAATATGCAAACCAAATTAGAACAGAGAAGAAACAAAAACAGCCAAAACAAGTTAGGATAGGAGTATTAGATATTGATTTATTACATTTATTATACAAACACAAGTGCTATTATACATTTGATTGTATTTATTAAGAAAACCAATGTAAGCCCGATGATCTGACCCGAACAATCTAGACCATTACCCAGATTTGTCCTAAACCCAAAGTAACACAAAAATGACCTAAACCCAAAGTAACAAACACAAATTGGACTTGTTTGAGAGCAGTTTTAAATCAGAATTGCAGGTTTTACTCATATAATCAATGCATTCATTGAACTCAGTGAAATACAGCAAACAGACAATTGTTTACATAAGCCTAAAAAACAAGCTATCAATACAATGCTTCAAACAAACACTAATCATACAAAAATTTGCACCTTAAAAGTTCCATCAAATAAAGATCACAATGCAGGACTCACCTTTCCTGGGGTAGCACAGAGAACTTGTTTGGCATTATCAAACTCCATGGCTATTCTAGCATCCTCAGATTCATGTACTGAGACTTTTTTATCCATAACCATGTAGAATGTTTCTCCAGTTTCGCTAAATTTCACAATTGAGGCCTCTTTGCCCAACCTGCAGTAGAAACTCCTCCTCCCTCTCACCAAATTAATCATTGCCAAGCACTCATCTCGGCCCACTGACAACCCTAACCGACCAGAAGGGTGGATAGAAATGGAATTGATGCCTTTCCTGTGGACTTTGAGAGTTTTAAGGTGAACAAAGGGATCAGCGTCATAAATGGAGACAGTACCGTCATCTGCCGCGGAGATGAGATTGCGAGGGAATGAGAGAGGAGGGGGTGTAACAAATGCAAGGGAGTTAATGGTGGAGGAATGGTGGAGGGATCCAATCTCAGAGCAGGTAGAGAGGTCATAGATCTTAATGGTGTCATCGGATCCGCCTGAAACCGCAGCGGAACCACAAACATCGGCACATTTGATAGTTGAGAGGTGGGAAGGGAAGGAAAAGAGAGGAATTAGGTCAAGGCTTTGACTGTCTTTCAGATGCTTCAGTTTGAATCCCCATATGAACCGCTCGTAGGAACCTGCAATTAGACTCATCGCCTTTCGCCTTTCCTGCAGTGAAATGGTTGGAATTAGGGGTGGGCACGGGCCGGTACGGGTTAAGTCATACGCCTTCGACAAACAAACTTGTGTAAAAAAAGAGCAAGAAAAGTAATACTAGATAATGTAAAACTGCCATGTGCCATGAATAATAAAAATGACACAAAAAACTTCTAAATCTGCAAAAAAAGAAGCAAAACACTATTCAGACTAGCATCGCTTGATCATATTGCTGCAAAATCAAAAAGGAAAGAAGAAACAGCCAATCTTCCTCCACCCATGAATATCTAAAACAGATTACGACATCATCATAGCCTAACAAAGTTGATAGAAACGCAAAGTGTGGTTAAATTTTGCAAAGGATTGTTCCTGAACTTTGCAAAGGTTAGTTAGATTTGAATTTTGCAGCATAGTTTCTATTAATTTATGATTTCTCCAAATGATTGTTCCTGACTAGAATTCATTTATTGATGTTCAATTTCCCATTATGTGTAGTAAGAGTGCAGGGACAGAAGGAGATGCATCCTAATATGAAATGTAAGGACACATGTTTACTTCAGAGTATAATTGCAAGTCTGATCTTGATACAAGTCAAAAAGAGATTTCTTCTAAAATCTCTATAAAACAACTACTATAACTTAACTTCCCTCTATGCCTTTAAAAATCCAAAAATACCAGCAGCTCCCCTTGTTTTTCAAATAGTCACTGCATGAAATTAGTTGGCTTCAGTAAGTTCCATTGTAAAGTTCATTTGATTTATGTTCTTGCAATTAGGTATCATGAGGGTCTCTTGGAAACAGCCTCCCTACTTCCGAGTAGGGGCAAGGTCTGCGTACACACACCCTCCCCAGACCCTACTGTTGTGGGATTCACCTGGGTTGTTGTTGTATTGTATTGTTCTTGCAATTAGGTATCATGAATCCGTGTTGAAATGTTGTCTTTTTAGCAGTGTATCACCATCATTTGGCATTGCATCCTCTTCAAAGGCAGTGTTCTCATAGGTTGTTCGTCTCATGCTCTCAGACACCTCTTCAACAATTCTGGTAACCCTATCTTCTTTTTTGGTCATATACTTTAGTGTAGACTTTAAGGATTTTCTTGGATATCTAATAGCCCACAAAGGTGGAAGCATCAAACACATAAACTATTTGTTGATTATCCTCACCCGCAAAAACAGCTTCTTTACTTCTTTATCCCACATTTCCATTCAAAAAAATAATGACCAAACTCAGCTTTAAACTCCAATCACTCACTTTAGTTGACTGATTGGTATGTTCCAAACTGCCTTAATAATTCTTTAGACTCAGCTTCTACCTTCAATATATATAGAGTAAGCAGTCATTAGTCAACCTTAGTTACACTTGAAAGTTATGGTCTCACTTCTTACCCTAATATTAATTTAATTTTGATTGAAGCTTGAAAACTAAATTCTAATAATTAGAATTTAGTTATAGTAATAATTTTATCAAAAATCTGAAGAATATTAGTTAGAGAGTGGAGACTGAAAACTATATATAGTCCAAAAAAATGAAATGTAATGTTAATGGAATTTTCCCACTCAGATCAAGATCCAAATGACTATTTTTTCGTTAAGTACAATATGATGATTATACAAATGTCAACTCAGAGTGTTCCTGGTTGAAGTACAATCTACTCAATGCACAAGTATAGGTTATCAACTAAATCGCTAAAAAATGACAAAGTTCAGATTCTCATGACTTCATTCTCACTATGTCACTTTATGGCAATTACATTTATCACATTTTAAATTATATTTTCACATTCGCATGACTTCATTTACACTCTGTGTCACTGAATAAAACTAAAATGAAGGTTGCACATAAAAAAACACTAGACCATTTTTTAACAATTTATTTGCACACATAAATGCTCTTAACCATTTTGACCTATATGCATGCAAGCATTCTGCTTTTCATTTTCCTAAAGTCTAAGTTTCAATGAAGATGTTCGTCTCTTCGATCATAAGTTGCGGACAACATGAAAGCAATAATGTACTCATTAGTTGGATTTGTATTGATATTGATCAGGAGCCCATACAATTTTATAAGTTTTATTGTTAAGTGTTCCATGCCACTACAGTGTTGCATTATTTGCATTTAATGCTAACTCCAGATAGTTATGAGCATTATTCAAAACCACCAGTCACTTGGTGGTACAAGACTAATGCTTTACTCTGTGGATTAGAACATAAAAACTTCTACATACCAGATATTTTTTTAAATCTAATTTCCCTGCTGATTACTAGCTTTTTTGGAATACCATGGTGTCTTGGTATGAGGCAAGTCCCTCTGTTAGTGTTAATGTGGTTGTGTTTTCTCATATATTGGTTTCTTGCTTAATATCATTCATGCAAATTCTCTGATTCTTCCGATATAATAGGCAAACCGATGGGAGGGAATTGCTTCCTTTGTCACATGGTATAAGCATGGAGGAACATGGAAGAGTATAAGAGGAAGTATGCTTATGAAATTCTCTTGACATGCTTGGTAGACTTATTTATGCAGGCAATGTTTCATACTTTGCTGTCTCTTATAAAGAAGTTGTATGTCTGGGCTGAAGTATCTCCACTTATCTAAATGTTACACCTTTTACTTATTAATATTCTTTCATAATGATATTGCCTGTTTTGAGTTTTCTTTTCATTTGCGAATTTTGGAGGGACATTGTAGTCTTTTACTATTTCTTTACTCCTTTTTTTGCTTTTTAATATACATGAAGAAAATGGTGAAATACCCATAGTGCATTTGTACATACCCGTATTGGATTGCCTACATGCATAAACTTCTATTTTGTCTTGATACACACACTCCCAAAAATCATGGTCATGATATGGTAGTCAAGTTCTAATGTTCTAGTGTAGTTAGTGCTATGTACTTTGGGAAGAAATAATGGAACAGATTTTACAGGTTTTAAATTGTGCATATTTTCATTATTATGAAAACACATAATACAGAGGTGAGACGACTTAAGAATTCTCAATCTGAAAAATCGCAGATTATAATTCAAGTATATATTAAAGTTTGGTTTCTTTTAAATTACATAAAGAAAACCTCATTGTACGAGTTTTTAAGTGATGTCATACGTAGCATAAGAGTTTTTATTTTTTATTTTTTTGGACATTTTCATTCGTTCAGAAAATGTAAAACACGGTATTAAGTGGATGACTTTTTTTAAACGAAATGAGAGAATTTTATATACGGAGTAACTCGGTTTGTTTTAAAATAAACTTAACTTGAATTTGGATTTCATATCCAGATTTGATCCAAATTACTTGTTTGGGAGCTCGAAGAATTTGGTTTTGGATTTGAACCAAATTCTTATAATTCAAAACTAACTCAAGTACAAATCGACACCCCTCCCCATGTCATTTACAAATTCAAACTTAATTTTTATTTAATTTAAACTTGTAGTTAAAGAGTGATCTTCTCGTATATAATAACAATTCAATACATATAAATTCGCTTCCGTTACCGTCTTTGCTGACTTCAAAATTCAAATTCTGGAATTGAAATTCTATGACTTTCCAAACAGCATTGTGAGTTTGAAATTATGAAATTTCAAATGTTGGAATTGAAATCTAAGACTTCAAATGAATTCTAGTTCCCAAACACTACCTTAATATATTTAAAAATTGAATGACTGAATTAAACATATTTCTTTAAAGAAGAAGATTCTAAGAGATTAGTCACTAAAACCTTAAGATGGTTTCTCATAGCCAAGACCACTGCTTGATCTATGCGTTATGGTGTGTAGGATAATAAAATGATATTCTTTGGGTACCTACGAAAATATGTAGCACAGCACATTTTCAAGGTATATTTCTACTTGAGTTTTGCTTTCATGAACTTAAACATGATCTTAAAAAATCTACATTTGAAACGTGTGCCTTCTCACATTTTTTGGTATTTCAGTTTTCAGTTTTTTTTTCAGATTTCAGTTTTTTTTGTATTATATATATCATAAATTCATTCTATTTCAAATCAATTCATCCAAATCAAATAAAGAACATATAGAACCATTAATTCATTCTATTTCATGACAATTAGTAAGAATTTCAAATTAAAAACTAATAATTAAACCTAGATTTTAAATCCAAAGAATGAAACTATGAAAGAGAAAAAATTTACAAGTTTGGAAAGCTTGTGAGTAGTGAATGCGGAATACCTGGAGGTTAGGCGGCGTCTGGCGGTGGTATCTGGCGGTGGCGGCGGTGTCTCTACCGGCACTCGGAATTTTCCTATCGAATTGCGTTCGAGTTCTGCGTTTCTGGCTCTCTACGACCTGACACTTTACTTTCTACGGCCTTCGTACTAAGAAGGCTTGGAAAGTTAGAAGGGATGAACGATTATAAGATGGGCCTTTGACTTGAGCTAGGTTCTGGACTGCTGGGCTACTTATATACATATATAAAATGCTTAAAAATTATTGGACCCTTAAAATCATAGGCCCAGTCAGAACCGACTGTTTGTCCCTTATTAGGCCGGCCCAGCTCTTCTAAAACATACGGAGCATAAATTTTCATTCTAATACAGTAATACTAATATTTTAAAGGGTGTGGATTTAGCTATATACACACCCATTAATATAAAGTTTATATTAGTATAAATTTAGCAAATTTATGTTAAATGAGTGGATATAACCATTTTTGGAATGAATTTAGCATCACCCTATTTTAAAATTTGATATAATTTTTTTCGTGCATTGCACATTTGCACTTGCACGAGCACCCAGTATAAATTTTCATTCTATTAACTAAAATATTATTGTCAACAATCACTACATTATTTTGTGCAGTCCCAATGTTACTTTTGTTTGGTGTGAAATAGGATTACTAAGTTCTAAAGCTTCAATAGAGGAGCCATTAAATATGGCAGGATTTAAATCGAGCCCCCCACACCCAAATAAAATTAAAATATATCGAGTATTGAAGACTCTTGTATTGTTATTGTTAAGTAGGGGTGGGTTCGGTTTGGGCGGTTCGGTTTTCACCCAAACTGGCGGTTCGGTTCGGTTTTGCATAAAAATATGTAAACCGTTGGTTATTCGGTTCGGTTTTATACGGGTTTTTTTTCAGTTTTTTCAGTTTATAAAAGTAGAAATTTATAAGTATTAAAAAATTGTAAAAACACTAACTCGATGAAACAATAACAATATGTAGTGTTAGCTTTGGTTTTTTGTTTGAGTTTTACACAAAACAAAAACCAAACGGAAGGTTATTGTTTCTTTTAGCTCAATTTTAAATAAGAAATATGTGTTGGGTGTTCAACAAACATTTAGAAGATTCCAAATACTTTCAAAGATATCGTATCTAAAATAAATTACAAAGAATTTATATTTTTGTATAATACTTTCATTTTCATTATAACATCAAAGTATTTTTTATGTAAATATTTAAATTACGCGTATCAATTTTTAATCTTAATATAATTCTATATTAGGATTTGCTATTGGTGTTCATATATATTCTTAAGTTTTTTTAAAGTTTATAATAATATGGCTAGAATGTTTAATTAATAGATAAGAAAATAACTTTAATCGACTAGTAATTTATTTGCATTTATATTTCTATTATTTTTTTACATATCACATATATTCATATAAATAAAGCAAAGTATTTAAGAAAGTTCGGTTTTTCAAAGTGAAAACCAAAACGGAACCAAACACTAACGGTTCGATTCGGTTTTTTTATATTCGGTTTCGGTTTTTTTTTGTTCGGTTTTTTTTCTAGCTCGTTTCGATTGATTTCGATTCGGTTTGCGGTTTTCGGTTTTTTCAACCCAGCCCTATTGTTAAGAAAAATATTGGTATAATAAATGCTACAATTTGATATTACATATTATCATTTCATGGTATTTTTTACACTGTATGTTGACATTACTTTGCATTATACGAAGTGCGTTCTATTCTTTTCTATAAAAATTAAAGATTGTATTTTACCATTTACACTTAGTTCAATTAAGTATTCCTTCCTCAATTACGATTTGATTTCATTGAATAATTGAAAATAAAACAAAACATGGAGATGGACTTTGTTTAGGGGAGAGAAAGAAATGTTACACACTACTTATTCCTTTACATTTTTCAATACTAATAACTCTACCTCAAATATAATTCATAGAGTTTGATGGATACCCGGGAATGGGGGTATCTAGCCCAACAGGAAAACGACCCAACCCAACTTCACTAAGGCCCACTTGGCGGGACCAAAGCAAAGGACCAGGGAAGACCATCTCGGCAGCGGTGTGCACTCGGCCCCGGCAGGGTCGGTCATCCTCAGACCACCCCCGGCCGGCCTTCCGCCAAGAGACTTCCGGAGACAGGTCATGCGCTCGGCCTCGGCCCTGGGCAGCGGCAGACCAGACCTGGACAAAAGAGCTGACCGAAGTCAAGATCAAGGGACCCACGATTAGACTCCTGTCATGCCTCTAGCATAGTAGCTATAGCCACCCTATTTGTAACCTACATTTGCATAGCAGTCTTAGGGTTAATAATGTGGTTGGACGCCGCCAGTGAATAACTCAATCTTAGTGGGCCCAGACTGTTAGACTATGGACCAACGATCGTAAACCTAGTTGTAATCTGCATATAAACCCCTCCTTCCCAGTGGAAGGGGGACGGACGTTCTGAGTTATATTCTAACTAGCACAATATTACTCTCAATTTACTTGACCCCATATTTTTGTACACTCTCAACTTAGTTTAATACTCTTTCGCCTAGTCTCTTAGGCCCCCGGGTTCCATACCCAACAGAGTTATTGTCATCACTAGGCTCCGAGCTTGTGACCTCGCATTGGGAGAATCACCGACTCACCACAATATCGTTGAACGTTGCACTCTTTTACGAGTACCTTTTAGGGAAAGATGAATTGAATATTGCATCTTAGGCCATAAATTAATGTGCCCATTTAAACCTCACACGATTTTTAAAAAAATGTTTAAAATAATAATAAACCTTTAGAAATGTTTAAACTATATATTTCCATAAATGTTTTAAAAAAACAATAATGGCCAAAATTATTCCTTGAAAGATACAAAACATTACTTTCCTACTTTCTAGAAAACAAAGATCTTTAATTATGGATTATTTAGCAATCTTATTTTAAAAATACTTATTTTAATACTTAAAAAATATTTTTTAGCATATATAAAGGTCTCGTGGACCCTAGCTCCATACAATAATTTGACGTATAATTGTTATTAGAGTATACTTTTAAGAACAATAATTGATATTAGGCTTACTAAATTCAGCAATTTATTTGGACAAGCTTCACTAATGAGTACGCGGTAGTTTACAAACATTTACCGTCAGATTTAAGTACTAAATATCGTCATTACATAAATCTTGAAATATAATTTTTTATATTAAATATGACATATTTTTTATCTTGAAAAAATTTATTAATTCTATGTATAATAAGTTGAAAAGGGTGAGTCCCATTCTCGAGGCTTTCTCAAATCTAATGGGATGGTCATCGAGAGGAAGCCAATTATACTTCAATCACAAATTGATACGGAGTAATAGATAATGGAATTTGCACCCAGTACTGCTCTAGCATAGTTGCATCCTTGTACTGCTGCCAAAAATTAACTTGGGTCTACCCTCTTGATAGTCTCGATCTCTCTTTACCAACTGTGCAATTCCCTTCGACATTAACAATAAGTTAAAAAAATAATAGAGGAACTAATCACCAAGGCTCAAATTGTGTGCTCATGACACAATTCTTCGTATGGGAAATAATATGTCGTTCGATCTACATTTTCCAACCATCTACGAAAAATAATCAAACCGGGATTGTTTAATAAAATAAAGGAATAAAAAAATATTCTCCCGTAGGTGCTCTTGCTACTCCTATAAAAAGAGGGCTCTCCTTCATCAAAGGGAGGCCATTTTTCTCCCTTCCTCCTACCCACTATTCTTTCTCTATCCAGATAATGTGTATTTTCTTCTTCATTGAGCTTATAGCTCCACGATTAATGGTTTCCGAGCCCAAATCATGTACTGTGTACAATCTCCCTGATATTAATAAAAATTCTCTGTTAGCAAGGTACTTTTAAATTTTATTTCAAATTTTACTTTGTTTTTCATTTAAATTAAACTCAAAATAAATCTATTACATATGTAAAAATACAATTAAAATTGCCAAATCAATGTTTATAATTAATGAAAGTAAATTAACGTAAAAAATATTAAAGCAAAAGAAGCGCGATAATTACATTAAAAAACATACTTTTTTACAAATGTTCTCGATCTCCGAGATTTAATTTTCGGAAGCGATCAATAATATTTTACTTTGTAACATTTGAAAGTGTGTGATCATTCTACATGGAAAATCATGGCGACTTGATTGACATGATCTTCTAATCAAATATTTTCTTCTTATCTCATGTCATTGATTTTGGTCATACTCTGTAATTTTTTATATTTTTAGAAGGGTCGAACGACAGATTAGTAAATTCAATTTCTCTAGGCAATGAATTGAAAGTACAAATGGTCCAGCACATTTAAAACAACTACAATTTTCAATCTTGGTAAAGTTCTTGCCAAAAATTGAGAATAAACATTATCGAGTACAAAAACTTTATTATCTCAATTATCAAAAAAGAATTAGTAAATTTTTAACAAAAAATAAGACCGACAAAAGTATCTTCTCAACTCTTCCAATAATTATCTATTACAATCAATTTAATTAATAAGTTCATTTCAAACAAAATAGAGAAAATTAAATCAAAATACACAAAAAAACATTGAAATATCAAGCATTGGCCTAAAAAACTCACTTTAATTTCTTAGGATCTAAAAGGCAAACAAAATGTATTATAAAGAAAAAATGAGAAAAAAAGGTATGGATATGGTGGAGAGCTAGCAGACAGCAGCAATAGCCTTGAGTAGTTGAGTAGTGGAATAAAAAATTTACTAGGGGTTATTTCCTTTTTTGACCGGGGGCCAATATTAAAAACTTCTTTTTTTTAAATTGGCAAGAGATTTCTCACTGAGGGGCAAGTGCCCCCCATGACCTAAACGTAGATCCGCCAGTGTTAGCAAGGTACTTTTAAATTTTATTTCAAATTTTACTTTGTTTTTCATTTAAATTAAACTCAAAATAAATCTATTACATATATAAAAATACAATTAAAATTGCCAAATCAATTTTCCCGCCAAAATCATAAATCAATGGCCCAATTTTACTAAAAAAAACTGATGAAATCCTAACCATAGACGAAAGGCCCAATTTCAATTTTCTAAAAAATTGAAAAGCCAATTCCGTTCTAATTTCTATTAGAAACCGCTACAACTTTCTCCGCCCCTCCTACTTCGATTCTGTGACCCCAAAAGGGGCATCCTGCACTCTCCCCTCCCTTCGTGC